AATTTTTAGTTATTATTGAGAAGTAATATTTTGATTTTTATCGTAATATTATATCTTAATAATAACTAGGATAGTTAAAACCTAATTTTTGATATATCCAGGTGGTTGTTTCGGAACAAAGTGACTTGGAATTCATGGATGAGATTGGTGCACGTGGTCTTATCTAGGAATTGGTGAAGGAGTCATGCATGCATGTGGTCTTTGGCAGAAGGTTATGATAATGAGGGATAAAGGTTATTAGTCAAAGCAGGATTGCATCAGGTTGCAAGATGACAACAAAATTTTGATAAGATGAGAACAAATAAGGACTCAGAGTCACAATGTAATTAGGATTGGTTTGCACGGCTTGGGTATTCAAGACTCTATAAATACAGTGCAACGGGCATCATTCAAAGGACCTCCAATTCAACACACAACTGCCCTGCGCAAAACCTCTCAAACATCTTGAGATTTTTATTTTCTTTTTTCCGCCGACACATCTTCAGTTTGGATAAACAGCACTGTGAAGGCAACCGGAAAACATCTTCAGTTTGGATAAACAGCACTGTTGCCGTAGAATCAGTCGTTCCCGAAGCACCTTCAGTTTGGATAAACAGCACTGCGTCGAGGCCGACTGGTTATCTATCCAAGTCTCGGTCGAGAAGGATTTTTAAATCCTTATTGGCAGAGGTCATCTCATTAGCCTTCTCGGCGAAGTGAGGTGTTACCAGGTTACTACATTCGGCACCTTGAGAGCCGAATTTGATATTGAACTTCGTAGAACTAGCAGCCTTGTCTTCAGGCTCGAGAATCCAAAGGCCGAGATTTGTTCCCTCCTCGGCCGCAGTCGCAAGATAAAGAAGTCAACAACGCGCTCAACGCAACATCAACAAATTTTACTCCTCGGCCGAGCTCGGCCGACGAGTTGGCACGCCCCGCATTCAACCGAAGGACGTAGTTAGCTCATTAGTTACTCGGCCTGCGCGCCACGTAGGCTTTGTAATTTTTGTAGTCAACATTTTGGCACGCCCAGTGGGACCCAGTGCTAAAACTACGAAGTTCATATGATATATCAAGATTCCAATCTGGCTCAACGTAGCCGATTGTACGAGCATCTAGAGGAATTGAAAAAACGCAATGAGGAACAAAAAAGATCTTTGGAAGTGGAAAAAATTCTTCGTGGCCATACAGAGATGCAAAAGTCATTCGCTTACATGTTGAGAATAAAAGCTCCTGTTACCCTGCAAGAGCAATGGGTAAATGAAGACAGGGCTCGGTTTAATACCTGGCTAGATGGAAAATATTTTCCTTACGTTTTCGACTACAAATCGATTCCATTTGAGGAATGGTTGGTTGAAAAAACCAGGGGGCAATTTTCCGCTCCGGCCGTAATCAAATATCGGCCTAAGAAAATTGTTACTTTGGCCGAAGATCAAAGGCCACATATTTTTTCGATCGCCGCTGAAAGTGTGGTAGGCCTAGAAGAAAATGTTCAAGTTTCTGAGCCAAAAATTGACTCAGAAAATAATTCGTCAGAAAAGTGTTCTAATGACGAACAAGACCAATTCATGGTTTCAGCTGAACAAACTGCGTCAATCGATATGATTATTGGTAATAAAGCCGACATGGAGCAATCCAATTCGGCCAAGTTGCTCGAGTTAAAAGCCGAAGTTAACGAAATAATTATGTCTGGGGGACATAATAATTGTTTAACACATTCGACGGCCGAAAATGAAAAATATATCACCAAATCAAAAATATTTGGAGAAAGTTCTTCATTCGGCCTAGAGCGAAATCAATTTGAGAATTTTGATATTAAAAGATCTCGGCTTGGAATAAAGCATTGTTGGCCTCCTCCTATTTATAGTTCGACCACTTTTATTTTCATTTGCTAAATTACTTTCTTAACCATTCGGCCTCTTGGCCGATACTTAAGAAAATATGGGGGGACAACGAGCATTGAGCCCTCGAAAAAAAAAAAAAAAAAAACAAATAAGACAACTCTCGGCTGTCTAAGCCGAGGCCAAGAAAATCAAGAAGATGCTAACCATTCGGCCTTTCGGCCAATACTTTAAGAAATGGGGATCGGTCGAAGAACTTCCAAATGACTTCGGCCTGCTTCCACCAAGCCTTGGTCGAGAAATATATATATATATATATATATATATATAAAAGGTGTCTCAACCCCATGCTTTGGATGGAGTTGACTGTTCAAAGGTTGGCTTTTCAAAGAATTGGTTTTGGTGAACGGTGGAATAATGCATGGTTAATGCAAATATTTCAATTAGGAGACACTGGCATATTCATGATTGGTGGGCAGGCCGAACTGCCAAGAAAGGTTTTTCTCGGCCGAATGTTTCTTGAGCTCGTCCTAATTTTTATCAGCCTACCTTTTCTCGACCTCGGCTTAGTTTGCTAGTTTTTGAAATGTTTATTTGCTGCGTTGCTGACATTGGGTTATATGTATGCAAGCCGAGCTGCTAAGAAAAATTCTGCTCGACCCTGTGTTTCTGCTTGCCTTCGTTCCGAGCTTCTCGACCTCGGCTCACCATATATATATATATATATATATATATATATATATATGCAAGCCGAGCTGCTAAGAAAAATTCTGCTCGACCCTGTGTTTCTGCTTGCCTTCGTTCCGAGCTTCTCGACCTCGGCTCACCATATATATATATATATATATATATATATATGCAAGCCGAGCTGCTAAGAAAAATTCTGCTCGACCCTGGCTTAGATTTTCTCGGCCTCAAAAAAAAAAAAAAAAAAAAAAAAAAAAAAAAGGCCATGACCATGTCTCTTCGGCGAATTACTAACAATCAAAATTCACCACGGCAAAGTTATTGTTATATGCTGCTTAGCATGGCCGAGGAGATTTGGTCGAATAAAATTTTAAAGCTTCGGAGTTCGTGCCGTGTCCAAGTTTGAAATGAAGGTGACTCAATATCATGCTTCCTGTCATTCGGTTGATTTATGCATGGCCATTATGTGAGTCAAAGTTGGCTTTTCAAGGATGCCATTGTAGCAGGGATTTTGGTTATAAAAAAACTAAAGTGGAAAAGAGGGTTTTTAGCAGCAAAAAGGAGGAGAGATATATTCGGCGGTATGAGGGTTCTTCGACTGTGCTAATTTCCTTAACCATTCGGCTTACGAGCCGAAGCTCAAGGAAACTGGGGGGCAATGTTTGGACCCAAAATTACACCATCGGCCTGAGCAATCGAGACCGTTGAATAGGCGAATTTTAGACCGTTGGATGATGAAGTGGTTGAAATAATTTTTAGTTATTATTGAGAAGTAATATTTTGATTTTTATCGTAATATTATATCTTAATAATAACTAGGATAGTTAAAACCTAATTTTTGATATATCCAGGTGGTTGTTTCGGAACAAAGTGACTTGGAATTCATGGATGAGATTGGTGCACGTGGTCTTATCTAGGAATTGGTGAAGGAGTCATGCATGCATGTGGTCTTTGGCAGAAGGTTATGATAATGAGGGATAAAGGTTATTAGTCAAAGCAGGATTGCATCAGGTTGCAAGATGACAACAAAATTTTGATAAGATGAGAACAAATAAGGACTCAGAGTCACAATGTAATTAGGATTGGTTTGCACGGCTTGGGTATTCAAGACTCTATAAATACAGTGCAACGGGCATCATTCAAAGGACCTCCAATTCAACACACAACTGCCCTGCGCAAAACCTCTCAAACATCTTGAGATTTTTATTTTCTTTTTTCCGCCGACACATCTTCAGTTTGGATAAACAGCACTGTGAAGGCAACCGGCAAACATCTTCAGTTTGGATAAACAGCACTGTTGTCGTAGAATTAGTCGTTCCCGAAGCACCTTCAGTTTGGATAAACAGCACTGCGTCGAGGCCGACTGGTTATCTATCCAAGTCTCGGTCGAGAAGGATTTTTAAATCCTTATTGGCAGAGGTCATCTCATTAGCCTTCTCGGCGAAGTGAGGTGTTACCAGGTTACTACATTCGGCACCTTGAGAGCCGAATTTGATATTGAACTTCGTAGAACTAGCAGCCTTGTCTTCAGGCTCGAGAATCCAAAGGCCGAGATTTGTTCCCTCCTCGGCCGCAGTCGCAAGATAAAGAAGTCAACAACGCGCTCAACGCAACATCAACAAATTTTACTCCTCGGCCGAGCTCGGCCGACGAGTTGGCACGCCCCGCATTCAACCGAAGGACGTAGTTAGCTCATTAGTTACTCGGCCTGCGCGCCACGTAGGCTTTGTAATTTTTGTAGTCAACAGTACTAGTCATTTAAATTGTTTTAGGAGACCTTCTTAAGTGCCTTGCTATAGTTGTTAAGTGCCTTGTCATTGACCATATCACTAATTGTTAATTTGGACCACACATAGAAACATTATTGAGGAAGCTTTGAAAAGGATCGAAGGCCGTACCACTAATCCCCCAAATCATAGAAGCTTGTCCACTCTAGGGTCACTCTCATATTTTCCCACTTCTGTATTATGCCAAAAGGCTCTCAAACCCATCCATCTCCATTCCAATAGTCCAATGTGAACAGTAACATCCTTATACGCAGTGAAATACATGTTACATTTACCAATATGGATGTACGTAGTCTAATTATAAGCAAACCACTGAGACCTCATGTTCAATTCTCCGTTGGCGACAAAGGAGGAGAAGATATATAGGAAAAGGGTCTCTCCTCCGATGTTGACTCGGCTACCTATGTTTCATACCTCATGTTATTACGTGTTATTGTGATTTTACCTTTTTAATAACGTCTCTCAAAAGTTAGGATGTAGTATTGTTCACTTATAAGTGAGAAGTTTTAGGTTCGATTATTGCCAAAGGCGAATTTGAATGACATTATCATTAGCCCATTATGAGATTTAGTTCATTCTCTCATATAATAGATAATATTATTTGTTAAAAAAAATTAAAAAATAACGTCTCCCAAAAAATGTCAAACACCTTGTTTTGATAACATCACTTTACACAAGCTTGAAATCCCAACAAAAACATGATCAGTTGTAATTAATGATTCTTTACATTGATGATTGATGCTCAAAATTCCAAAGCTTGCCTGATGTTTTTGTTTATTTAATTATTTCTTCTATTTCAGTAAATCACTTTCCATATATTAGACCAACATTAACGAACTGAACAGAATGGAAAATTAAGAACTCATCGCATTCTCTCCTAGAGGCTATAGCTATGCCCTATATAGAGGGAATACTATATAAAAAATAATTAGGTGATAATAATTTATTTGGATCATATTCCCAAGTTCAACTGAGCTTGGACCTCCAAAATGGTGTTAGCAGAGTCCCTCAGCCTCTGTGCCTCCTCGTCAGTGAGATGTATATTGGCCACGCCCAACACCCCGCCCCTCCCAAGCTGCGCAGGCAGGCTCAAGAACACGTCCCCACCTTCCACTCCGTAGAAGCCCTTGGCGAGTACCGACACAGGGTGGATCTTCCTCTGGTCCCTCAGTATGCTCCGAGCCAGGTTGGCGGCGGAGTAGCCAATTGCCCATGAAGTATACCCTTTCAGACTTATCACTTCGTAAGCACTCTCGACAACTGCCTTGTGAATGTTTTCTAGTGTCTCTTTCTCATAGGCTATTTGCTGTTTTTCTAGGAAGTTCAACACCGGCACTCCCCCTACGCTTATGCTCGACCACAGCGCCACGGAGCTGTCACCGTGCTCCCCAACTATGTAAGCCTACACATATATACCATATTTCAACAGTAAATTAGTGCAAGCACAAAACTATATAACTTTTATATAAATTAAAAAACAAAAAAAAAAAGAAGGTAACTTTCTTGGCAAAATGAAAGAAAATTTGAACAGTTTTGATTAAAACTAAAAAATAAACAGTTTTCAATTCTGCATATTCACAAAAATGATCTTTAAAATAAATAATTCTGATTATGATATTTGTAAAGTAAAATACTTATCAGAGCTGGCGACAACTATCATAGGCTTATATCCTAACTAATTCTAGGATTATGTTTTTCGGAAGTATTAAATTTGAAATATCATAGGCTTGCAAGTGAAAAAAAAAAATTTACGTGTCATCTCTTTAAACCCTGAAATTGACTCAACATACATATTTAATAGTACGAAATAGTACATGCAGTACACTCTTTATTTACCTGTACATCTTGGGCGTTAACGTCAAGATGATCGGCGATGAGGAAGCGGAACCTGGAGGAATCGAGATTGGTACCCGACCCGAGAACCCGGTTGCTGGGAAACCCTGATAGCTTCCAGGCGACGTACGTCAAGACATCAACAGGGTTGGACACGATTAGCAAGATGGTGTCCGGTGAGTACTTGACAAGCGGCGGTACGATATTTCGAAACAGAGAAACGTTCCTCTGGAGGAGGTTCAGCCTGGACTCTCCGGGGTTCTGGCGGGCGCCGGCGGTGACAATACACAGGTCGGAGCCGACGGTAACGGCGTAGTCAACGGAGGCCATGATTTTGGTGCGGGGAAGGAAGGCGGCGGCGTGCTGGAGGTCGAGCATCTCACCGCGGAGCTTGTCCGGGTCGACGTCGACAATGACGAGCTCATCGGCGACGTCTTGGGTTAAGATGGTTTGGGCGATGGCCATGCCGACGTTGCCGGCGCCGACGACGGAGATTTTGGTATGGCGCTTGGTGGGGGAAGGTGGGTCGGCGCTGGAGATGGGCTTGAAGAAGGCTTGGGTTAAGTCCAGGCCTCCCGGACCCAGTGATGATCCTGAACTGCTCTTGTGCACGGGTGACATGTTTTTTGTGGGTCTGTAATTTAGGTTGTGTATTTTGTGGTGTTTGATGATGCTAGAGAAAGAGAGACATAAGGGGAGTTATATAGTGTCGGAGAGAGGGAGGGGATGCCGGTCGGATTCGGACGATTTCCTTCCATTTCAACATTCAATGCTGTCATTAAAGACTTGGACATTCCTTTGGGAAATTGGGGGATTCATGGAGAATTTGGACCGGAGAGGTAAGTTTTTCTCTTTCCTTGTCTTGCGATTTACTTCAGAACGTTCAATCCATTAATGGGCCTTCTAGAATAAAAAAACTCAATTGATATATAGAAGCCCGCATCTTCAATCTGCATAGAAATCCATTAGAATTAATGGGCCTTTTACAAGAAATACGGCCCTTTCATTTTCAAAGCTTGCATTTTGGGAGGAAATTTTAGAGTCGATTTGGAAATGCTATTCTTATACCATGTTCATAAGCGTTGTTGTTGATGGAAAGTGTTGAAATTTCATTAGAAATTTCTTTTTTTTTTTTTTTTTTTTATTTTAGAAAAACACTTGAAAGTACTTTCAGAAATAGTACTTTATAAAATAAAATAAAAAGCGCTTTCAAATGCTTTACAATCTATACACACTTGATTACATACGAGTGGAAGGATGACTATCAGGGTTTGTGGCTTAGATTATTCAAATATGTAATCACTTTTTATGTCAAATACGTTAGAAATGCTTTTGATTACATACGAGTGGATTTAGATTTTTCCTAAAAATATCTTCCATATATGATTTGGATTGCTACTCTATTAAGTTGTGCTACCAGTACATGAACATTCAACGTGTCATAGTGGCAATGGAAACAAAAATATCACAAGACGGTATGATGACTTCATATATAGGAAATGTAATGCTAGGGAAATCAAATGGCAATGTAAGACATATGACGGTGTGATGACGTCAAATGGCAATGTAAGATATATGATGAGGTTAGTGATGATTAGATTATTACTTAAATTTTGATTAACGTGTTTATTTCCTATTAGTGACATATCATATGACTTGCAATTTTGATGTACAAAATTGGTCTAACTACCAATACGCATATAGAAAATAACTTGTCGGGCAGTTCGACTCTGAATTCAATCAGATGTGGCCAGGTGTTGTGGGTTTTCACAGATTCCCAAAAAAACGAATGAAAGAGATCTAAAGCACTCTGCAGATACAAGGGAAGCAAAAATCTAACTACGTGCCACCTTGCGAAAGTATCACTCAGTGTGAACACTCTACGCAGTTCGTCCCAAATGATTACATCTTTGAATAAACTAAGCCACAAGTCCTGATAGTCATCCTTCCACAATCCCACAACCACCCCACTACTGCAAAACGCACCATTCTCCTTATGCTATATATACCCGTTCATTAAGCTAGTTCATCAGGTCCGTGCAAAGAGATATATATAATCAAGCAAACTTGATTAGTAATCTTGCAAATATATACGTTGAGCTTCAACATGAAAGCCTTCATTGTTTCTGTGTTTTTGTTTCTGCTGGCTACGAACGTTTTCGTCGAGGAAGTTGTTGCAGCTGGAGAATGTGGAAAGACTCCGATTAGTTCAGCAGCAACAAGTCTGAGCCCTTGCTTGAGTGCGGCCAGAAACGTGAGGGCCAAGGTTCCCCCACTTTGCTGCACCAAAGTTGGTGCCTTGATCAAGACTACCCCAAAATGCCTTTGCGCTGTTCTGTTGTCACCTTTGGCAAAGCAAGCCGGTATTAATCCCGCCATTGCCATTACCATTGCAAAGCGATGCAACATCAGGAAACGACCTGTCGGAAAGAAGTGCGGAAGTAAGTAATTACGTGGGTAGTGTTATTTATAAATACAAAACTAAGGGTAACTGGTGTTGTAAAATTAATTGTTTGATTTGCAGGGTACGTGGTGCCATAAGCCAAAGTCAGAAGAGTCCAGCCATAGCAATACATATATAAAGGGGGACCAGAAACATCCAATGTCTTTCAATGTTGAATTAGGGAATAACATGCAACGAAGGGTCATTTGATTTGCTGTCTGCTGTGATCGTTGACTCTTCTACGCACACTAGTATTTTACTTTACTTTTACGTACTATTTAAATGTGGTGTTCTTGTCGTAATATTTCTTAATAGATTATGGTTCCTATCCTTACCAGCTAACTCTCTTATTTCTCTGACTACAACAGAAAAAGATAGTATATAAATAAGTAAAAAAACAAAACTATCCTAAAACAAGGGAAATAGCGAATAAAAACTTGGCCCCCAAAAAAGGGGAAAAAGTATTTGTACATGAATATAGAATGTGAGACAGCAGAGACTTAATAATTTCAAATTTAAAACCAATTCAAATGAATGAAATGACGTTGGATTTCTACCTATGCATCACGGATTTGAAACTTTCTCCTATTTAAATTATTGTAATAGTTTCGAACTCTTTCTTTAATAATAATGAAATTTTAAAGGAAAAAATAAATAAAAAAAATGACAGTGTTTTTTACGTTAGATTAATTGCACTGAATGAATTATTCACTGCCATTACCAAAACAATGCGCAATGATTTCTTATCAGAAACTTTGAGGGTTTGGATATTTTTATCAAGCCGTGTCTTATGTGCATGTGCAGTGTAGAACCCCTGAAGCTTTATATTATTACTTTGAAAACAGCTATAATTTGGGGTCCCATTTTTTATTGAATTTCAAATTGTTTCTCACACAGATAACGGATTGAAGGATTAGTGCTAAAACTTTCACTAAACTGTGTTTATAGTGCTGATTACCAGCAGTAAATCGATATGAGTCCAGCTGTCGATGGGGCTAACTCTCAATTATATATGATTAAAAGCACTAATACGAAGGATCGGCCAATTCTGATCCCCACCGTTCGACTCGGAGATCAGTGTGTTTTGGCACAAAGCACCACACAATAAGTCTGTACGACACATGAAACAAACATGCTCTGCCGTCGGATTGTACATCAGTCAACGTCCACACGAAATACGATGCAGGTGACTTACATCAGACAAAGTTCTGCCATTCAAACTCCATGATCAAAAGGACACTGGTCCCACGCACCCACCTCTTGTAAAATAAAATTTCCTCGAGTGTGTTTTATCAACACGATTGTTACATCACCATGAATGTAAGACAGAAGTATCATTTTCATTATTTGACGGTTTCGCTATAGCAATTAATTTACTCTTGTAAAGGTTAGGAAGCCTCGTATAGGTATTTAAATTTTTCCTAGCTATTATCATGTTATTTATAAGTTCTAGAAATCGAACACAAGATATAATGTGTAAAATACGAGCTTAAAATTCGTCTCTTACCAATAAATCCACTCCATAATGGTTTGTACTAATGTAGTTTACTGTTTATATCATAATGTAACGATCCAGTATATAGATCATTCTGATTTATGTCTTTCACCAATTCTAAGTAAGTAAATATGAGCTAAATTAATCTCATCATCTACCTAAATTATAATATTTGATAACAACGTAATAGTATGACGGGCACATAAAAACATTTCTCATGATTCGCTCCGTTCGAGTTATCAACCACAAGCATGCCAATAGGTGGACCCAATGCATGCGAACGAGCAAAGAAAATTTACAGGTGGAAAATAAGTGATATAACCCCACAATGGAGAGAAGGGTGTGGAAAAAGTCTCAAAAAGAAGAACGGTTGGGAAGCATAACATTGAAGGGGAAAACAGAAAAGGAAAAGCTGAAATTTGAATTGTGTCTAACAGTACTAGGGCATATCTATCCATCTTTGCCTTGCAATATTTGCTTTTGCATGCAACATCATCACATGAGTATGCTTGCAATTATTTAGTCCCCCACATATCTATCTATATTATCTATTCTGTATTATTAAGAGAACTCTTCTTGTCAACTTTTTCTCCCTATTTTTTCTATTTTGGGCCCACTTTTGATACACACTATTGACAAAAAGGAGGGCAAAATAGTAATTTTGTACCTTTTGACAAAATGATAAGCATATCCCTATTTTATTTATTTATTTTTTTATAGAAAATGACAATTATATACTTATTTTTTTCAATTCCACTCTCACTTTTAATACACAATATTTACATAAGGAGGACAAAATAGGAAAAAAAAGGGGGAAAAAAGTTGACAAGGAGGCTTCTCTTAATAATAGTATAGAAAAAAAATATGCACTTATTAAGAAAAAGGAGAAAAAAGTTGACAATGAGGTTTCTCTTAATAATAATATAGAAATATCCACTTATTAAGAGAAATTGGTCACACATATAAAATGTGTCATCTCATCCAGTTTCTTATTAACCAAAGAAAATTAAAGTAAGACTACATTTCGCGAATCCCAAGAGACTTTTTTTTCTTTTTTAAAATTTTGTTATCTAACATCTTTGCCGTTGACTGAGTTTTACTGCTTTTTTAGGTAGATCAAAATTTTGAATTAAATTTCGTCAATAAAATAAAATAGTGAGTTGTTGATAATTAGATTATTATTTATTGTGAATTAATGTACTTATTTTTTATTTGTGACACATCATTTGATTTGCACATTTAATTTGAAAATTTGGTCTATCTAACATTATCCAAATTCGAGAGATTTTTAATGTGATCAAAACACGGGATGGTACACCACGTGTTATTATACAAATGATAGGATATGTGTGTTAAAAAGTTAATAACTTAAAAAATATAACTTTCCACCACTTATATAAAAACTTATGTGGTGTTACTCCCGTGTTCTGATCACAATAAAAAAATTCTCCCCAAATTCATATAATCTCTTTTCACTTTTTCCACTCTCTCTATATATGTCATGGCTTTGCCCATAAAAAGAAATGTATGGGTCTGAGTGAGTGAGTCATCAAACATTAAGACTTTTAGAGAGAGAGAGAGAGAGATGGGCGAGCTTCATCACTCCATGTCCATGGCTTACACAAACAGTAGCCTTCACAGCTCTTCCCTAGGTTGGGATTGTCACAGCCACCTTGGAGTCCTCAACACAGACAGAATGTCTTTAGGTCTCTCCACTTTTTATTCCTTTGCTTCTCTCCTTTCACTGTTTTTGTCTACATTTATATTTACTTGTCGTTGAATATAACACAATGATATATTTCTAGCTTGCTAGTGTTAATTATAAGTTTTGAATAATATGTGCAGCTATGGAAGAGTACATGATGATGAATGCACCATTTTACTCATCGCCTCATGTAGATCAGTCGGATTTCTCGACGGGGTACTTAGAAGACGCTTTGGTTGAATTTAGCGAGCGATCCAAAAGAAGACGCTTGCTCGCGTATACCGATGGTGATAACGAGCTCAAAGACTCCTCCACTGCTCTTCTTGCGAAGGTATTGGGTTAGCTTATTCGAGAGATCTCTCGTTTTGCATGCCTTGTTTTTATATCGTAAGAGCTTTTTCATTAATGTTGGGCCAATTTCTGACTTAATTTTTATAAACAGAGGTACTGGAATTCAGACTGGGAAGTGTCTGAGAATTTTGATTGCATGAGCCAGCTAACTACTTCCAGTTCTGGGCTATCAGGTAATTACGTAATAATTAATTACTTTATTTTAGCTTATCTATAGTAGGTTTAGTTCTTTCTTAATTGTTGTTTATAGTTAGTTAATGTTAAAATGGTTTAAATTTCAGTTCTTCTAGGTGATCCTGTAAGTATAACCACACCAATGAGCAGACTCGAGTCCGAAGAGATCACAAACGACATAGTCGGCACAAAGATAAACACACCAGAAGAGCCAAATATGTCAGCTCCCGAAGCTTTTGATTCCTTCTCTTCTTCTTCTAGCAAAGACCCGGCAAACACCAACTCTGATTATTTACCTGCTCCCAAAGAAACTTTTTTAACCAATATTGCTGCTCCAGCTGGAGGTATGTAAGCATATCATGAATCCAGTAATATACGTATTCAATAATGTTATATAAACACATAAAATACACACCCTCTAATTGAAGTGGGTCCTACCTGGCATACAGGATTTACTAGTATTAGAGAGTGTGATAGCTTGTGTGCCTAAATAGCATTACCAAACAAAATTGACGGCATTGTTGACACGTTCTCTAATGCAGGTGGTGGTGATGATGAAAAGAGAAAAAAGAAGAAGAGGGTGATAACAAAGGTGGTCTATCCATTTGCGTTGGTGAAGCCGGGCGGAGTAGAAGGCGACGTGACCTTGAACGACATCAACGAGAGAATCCTAATGCCACCAACACGGCCAGTACGACACCCAGTTGGGGACTTTGCGTGTCGACCATGCGTGTCTGCCGATGGCCCTGGCCTTTCTGGCAAAGCTGTGGTGGCCCTTACCAGGATTCAAACCCAGGGCAGAGGCACAATCACTATTATCAGAACCAAAGGTTAAATTAATCGTTGTCATTTAATTAGTGAATGGCCTCGGTGCTAGCTACTTAGCATGCATGAGTTCGATCCATCCTTGATTAATTAGTTAATTAGTTTAAATTAATATGTTCGATCTCTGTGAATTGTATAGAAAACCTATATATGTTTCCACAGTCCATGTGTAACATTCATGTGTTATGGGTTTACTTTTACGTACACATAATTAAGAATGTTATTTACTAATTACGTCTCTGTTAATACTCAAGTTTTTGTGTAGATTACTGAGTAACTGAGGTATTAAATGTGCAACAAGAACTTCATTTCTGAGGTCATAATAATTAACATGGTGGAATTAATGGAAAATAAGAAAGTAGGAAAAGAAAATGCCCGAAAAGAAAGAAAGAAAGAGAAGAGAAGAGAATAGAAACGAAAATGCTTCTTCAAAGATTAAAGCGTCCATTATATCGTCTGGCACAGACCTGCCTATAAGGCAATATATGTTCTCTCTGCTATGCCCCAGTTTTCGCAAGGTGTAAAGACTAAAGTAAAAGTAGATCAGTTTGGTCATTTGATTTGTTGAAGTGGGGACAATTGGATGGGTGCATAATATATCCATCAGATCTCATTAGTTATGATTATCAAACAATAAAAATACTTGCAAAACTAGACAATAACAATTAACATTAGTTGCATAAAATAAAACGAGTAAAAGGCGTATCTATAACAATAAAAATACTGTACAGATGCTTTTACACATCTCATTAGACATTTGTTAGCCTCATTACCTGCAACTAACGTTAATAT